AAAATGTCAAAAAGGAATGAATGATACTGGAAAAGAATACATAAAAAGTAAAACAGGACTATTTTGGCCGATCACCCATCTCAAGCGATTGGTGGGGGGGGGGGGGGCACTCCCACGTATCTTGTCTTTTAATCCGCTCAATAGCTGGTTTTACATGATCCTTGAAATCTAGTCATATGAGAAATGTGTCAGGCTCTCACTTTTAACTATGAATTTGATTAGTTTCTAAACTTGATTGTTCGTCGAAAACATAGTATGTTTATTGCCCTTATATAATAAAGAGGCCAGTTTTTGCTTAAAGTATGAGTTCCTAACATAGGTTACATTAGAAATTAGAGACCCTCAACTTTTATAAATACCCATACACACAAAACTCTCGCATGTGAAGCTCATTGTACTAACAGGCTTTGAAGAACCAAGAAATCAGCTGATAACACATTATTCAAACATTTAGTATCATGAAACAGCCTAAGTCTTAGAATTAATCAAGACAGGAACAGATTGTAAAATTAAACAAGACAAGAACAAACTATTCGACATGGAAAATAAACTCTCGGTTATTCTAATTCTATCACTAACTATTTAATATACAATTATTTAAGAAAGAGTCACTAAAAAAAGCAATTAAATTAATAATAAAAGTTTGAACCTTTTTGGTTGTTGTTCTTGCCCCTTATACACATTTGCTCTTCTTCTGTTCATCTTGTTTAAAAACTTAAAGCCTTAAAAAGATATTTGAACAACATAATAGTATAAACTAAAATTTTAATAAATGAATAAAAAACAATAAAATTAAATAATAATAATATTACTACTGAATCAAACAGTTGGGACGATTTGTTAAGTCGAGAGGGGAGGGCATCTCTCGATCATTCATCACTCATAAACATCACAGAAGAAATGGAGAGAAAAAAAGCAAAAGAAGAATCAGAGAAGAAAGAAGGAGAAGTCGAAAGAGAAGGAAACCTTTGTGCCCAAATCGAACAGCTTCACCAGTCTTCATGGGTGCAGAGGAAGAGGAGGAAGGAGTTGCGTGCATGGCTCTGAATCGAACCGAGAGTCGAAGCCTCTACATGCATTGAGTTTACTGAGACCAAAGGAGAAAAATCAGGTGCGCAAAGTAAGAGGAGGATTAAGAAGATTCAAATGAGAAGAAGAGAAGGGGTTTTGTGCCTTAACAAGATTCGTGTCGTGCTCGATTACGAAGGAAGAGAAGGTAGATGATGGAGGCAGCGTTTTCTTACTACCCAGGGTAGAGCCACACGACCGAAGAAGGAAAGGGAGCTCGCACGGTTGAGCTGAAGGCAAAAAGACGCAGGGAGCGAGTCTTTCGTGCGGGTTAGGGCAGTTGAAGTTATAAAAAGGTATAATTGAGATTTTAATTAGTTAATTAATATATTATTACATAGATAAATTTTTATATGTATATGAGTGTTAGTGTCTAAATAGAATGTCAAATTTAATCAGGAATCTAACAAAGACATTTCATCTTTGAAGGAGAGGTTTATGAAGCAAACAAGGGGAAGAGATCGATTTGAAAGCCTATAAATTAAATATTAAACCTTATCTTATTAATGAAATTAATGATGTAATTAGCTAGATTAATTAATGTTATTAAACTTTGTTTTTATTAGGAAGTGAGGAAGAAGACTGACTAATGCTTTGGATTTGAGGAAGAAGACAAATAAGTTTAAAAGATAATGTATGTTTTAAATTAAAGTTTAATTTACTTAATCAGGAATTAATATTTAATAAAATATTAATTTTAACTATAATTTAGGTTGAAGCATATTAAACCTAGAAGGTCAAGGGTTAGAAAGTTAGTGTGGCAAGCAAGCTAAGCAAGATGACTTATTATTTTCTTTTAAGCATTAAATTATTTAAATGAATAATTACAATAAATATTTTAAAAGTGGTATTGCATTTATGAATTTAATTTTGAAAATCTGAAATGGTATAAGGGATGAAAAAAAAACAACAAACTGATGAAGGTATATTATTAATGATTTTAAATTCATATGGAATGAAAGATAAATGTTTAAGTCACACAGGATTACCTCCAGATGGTACTGATAGGGGATGAAATATATCTGTGCATGTTAAAGTAAATGGTAAAGATGCGCCTTCATGTGCAATTTGAAGATACCTTTGGCTACATTTTTTAGGGTGTATTCGGGCACATTTTTAGGATACCTTTGATTATGACGATAATCTTATTATGACTTTTAAAATGATTAAAAATGGTAAATAACAAAAAGGGATACGTTTAAAGTTTTAATGAAATGAACTGCATTTTCTTTTGGTTATTCATGCATAGCATCACAAAAGAATTTAATACATTTTAGACTATAATTACTCACTAAGGCATAGTTATGGATGGAATTAATGTTTTCTTTCAGGAGAATAAAACCTTTAAGATGATATATCTGGCAGGAGAAACTTGATTTATAGAAGGATTGCAGCTGATAAATAATAGTTATTATATATTTGTAGTTTTTGTTTATTATTTCCTACATTTATTGTTCAGTACTGAGTTGAGATGTGATTTTCATAATATGTTGATATTTTTGGATGTTCAATTTTATTGCACTTTGTAAATTAGTAGCTCTTTTATATATTGTGAGTTACTGAAATATTTTGTGAAAAGAAAATAAAATGTTAATACCGTCCGATCATAGTTCTCGCCCTAGTTAATTCTAAGCGCCGGATCAGGTCATGACAACAATGAGATATTTAGAGATAATCAAGAAGTAATCACACATATAAACTACAGTAACTTAAGAAAAAAATGAATATGTATGCTGGTCTTCCATATCTCTATAAAAAATCTTATAATATGTGGTCTTTCATATTTATACTAAAACATGTATCAGTGAGATTTCTCAATGAAAACTCAAATCTTACAAATGCGTTTATTTTGACTTTATACTTTTTACATACACATTTGTCTCTTTGAGGTTTACCATCAACAAAACTTAGCACTTATGACCGATATTATCTTGTCGACATAGCGATTAGCGATCTAAACAATACAATTATCTGAGGTAGAAAGGTCCTCACTCGCCTCTGCCTTATATTCTTTTGTCGGTGCGGCATCACAACTATCTGAGGTGGTCGCCCCTAGTCGATATTCTCTCATCGACACTGCGGTTAGTGATCTAAACATCATAGCTATCTGGGTAGTAGAAAAACTATGCATGTAGGTGCACTGGTGTCCCCTTCTTGTCTCATTAGGGGGTGAACTCCTCTTAGCATGCACATACAAATATTTATATATATGTATTATTTCATTCTTCATAATTTGCATCCTTTTGAGACGTCTTCATTCATCTACTAGCAAGCAAATTTACTCATTTATGTAATTAATCATCATGCATGTATCTCATATTAATCATCTCTCATATTATGCATATCTCCCATATCAATCATATCTCTTATCTCAGATATATCTCTTATATCATGCATATATTTCATATCATTTGTATCTCTTATATCATGCATATCTTTCATATCATGTACATCTTTTCCAATCATACTTATCATACATATCATTCATGTCTAACAACATGAAGAATCTAATTAAACTAGAGCATATATAAAGTCAAACATATACTTTGAAAAAAAAATATATTACTGAAATTTAAAAATATAATTATACATCTCAATTGTCACGCTAGATTCATAGACTTCGGTAACTAGCTGGACATTGCGATAACCTTTATGTTGATATTAATGACTTATATAAAAAAAATTAAACTTTAAAATTCAAGCAATTTGCATTAATCGAATTATCCTTCTTAATATAGAATTAATTTACCTGAATTTATGGAGTCGTCATATGACTAGCTTCCATACACTCATCTGAGGTCCCCACCTCGTCTAAATAACTTGAAATTCATAAATATCTTAGGATTTAATAAAATTCTGACTCGTATCGTAATTTAACAAAAAATACATATCTTAAACAGGCTTCACGGTAAAACCTAACTTTTTTCGATCTTGCCAAATTTTCTTCCTTCTTCCTATCTTTGCTTATTCTCCCTTAACCTTATTGATTTCATCCTAGAAGCCCATAAAAATCCATAAACCAACTTCTTTATTTCTAACACAACCTCATCCTCGTAACTGTTATGGCGTCTGGAAACGAAAAAAGATGCACAATTTGCAATAATTCTCAAAATGAAAGTGTGGGGATGAAAAGAAATAGCTCAAATAGCGTGAGAGAGCGCTTCATACTCACTGATTTCATCCCAAAAGCCTAAACCATAAGCTGCGGCACTCGGTGGGCAGCTCGCCTCCTCTGCAGGTGTAGTGTTGTAATCGTGCTTGTGTTACAGTGTAGTGATCGTAGCGCAATCAAGAACAGGGAGAAGAGAAGGAAAAAATGTGAAGGTTCTGGATTAAGGATCACCCCTCATTCGATGTATCCCAGTGCTAAATTTCATGAGTTACTCAATTGGGAACAAAAAGTCAGAATTAAAGAGGGGCAATTAAGGGTTAAAGGAAATTAACTAAATTTATAACTTCCAATTTTTATATTTCTCAATCCATTCATAATTTACCCATAGTGATCTATAGCGAATTAATCGATTTGACGTGTAGAATGTTATAAAATTGATTTGACTTAAAATCTGAGAGATGCGAAGTTTGGGATACAATATAAGTCGTCAAAAATTTTTACCTAATTTTACAAAACTAGTTATTACATTTAGAATGCCATTATAATGATTCATTGTCAAGAAAAACATGAAGAGCATGTACTTTGGTTCACTATTCAGTCCCATTCCCTTTTTCATAAATCCAAGCCCAGCCAATTAAGCTTTATTTTGTCACAAGCCAGACCATGCGATAGGTAAAATACATACCACTTAAAAAAAAACGTATTTGATTCGATGGATCTATTTTTAACTAGAGTCAAAAGTGCTCAAGAATTTCAATAAATTAAACATTAAATGGGACGTCAAATAAAAAACGCTATAGAAGAAATAACAAAAGCATACCTTTTGTTTCCAGGTCAAAGCATTGATGCGGTAAAATGGGTCTAGTAATGTTACTCGATCACCTTCTTTAATCTACACCAGCAAAATTATAAGATTACAGCTACTCCGCATAACAGCTCAATCTATGATAACTATGAATATGTATGAAACAAATAAATACGCAAAGTATGAACATTAAACCATTCAATTATTTACATATTTGAATATTTTAAAAAAAATATTTTGTTTATCTTTTAGAATAACATTACTAGCAGAAAATGGTAGAGTGCTAAAAACCAATGTTTAGCGGCAACTAGGAATGATGAGAAATGTTAAGAAAAACTTACTGCTTCACGGTGCACTCCATAAACTGAAAGTATGAAACAAGATTGATTTGAATCACAAAGTACATAATACCTAAGAAATTTAGGGGAGAAATGTTAGTAATTAATATCATTATAGTATGAATAACACTGCACTCAAAAATTACGCAATTTAAATTCAGTGCCAAACCACAGATGATGTGGCAGCTGAGGTAATATCTTATATATTTCATATCTCTTGAAATTGCTTCTTTTAAATATACATTATATATATAGAGAGAGAGAGAAAGAGAGAGAGAGAGAGAGAGAAAGAGATAATTTGGTGGAATGTAAATTGAGTCACTCAGAAATAAATAAATAAATAACTATCTATTTTACAATACAAATGTAATTGACAAATTTCTCCGCGAATCAGCTTATATTTCATGAAATTAACTTATTGTCTCCTAAGAAACCTTATAAATGCCAAACAAATAAGGTATTTCAAGTTATATATAGGTCGCAAAAAACAAGTGGAGTTTTGCATAAATTAGATGTCATGTCAGATTGGACAAGGACAGTGCCATCTGAACAATGTTGTGGAAATAATTTACGTGGAAATTTAATTGAAGGTTGGTTGAAGGAGATGGTTGTATCTCAAGTCACGGAATCCACGCATACATTTTGCAATATATCGCTCATCAATCCGGAAAAAACAAAAATAAAAAATAGGACTGCATCATTACTCTTTTAGCACTTCTTTAAACTGTTTTATGAGAGCAGCATGAAAAAGATAACTTACGATGGAGCAATATCATCATGCATGACAGAAACAAGTACTATTCCAACAATCATTACTGCTTTGTTCAACCCCTGAGTTAGGATGTTAATGTTGGCCTTCTTGTGCGTTGAAATTGCTTGAAATAAGCATGCAAAAAAAAAAATTTCAATCAGTATTCCATAGTTGAATTCTCTGATAGCTAGAATCCAAAATTTGTAAGTTCTTACAATTAACTTCGCCTAAAGATGCCAGCAAAGGAGCTAGTCGTTTAGACCTGTCTTGCCACTGAAATAAAATTAAGTTCGTGTAAAAACTGAATAATTCTGTGAAATTGAAACTTTAATCAAATGCATATTATAATACTCAGCGTGGACAATAAACTAGTTTGATTTACACAAATCTGCAGGAAATGAGTAATATTGTCTTGATTACCATAACATAGCTTTTACATTTTCAATAAGGGGAGGAAATGTAGGGAGCCGGAAGGAATTGAAGAGCTGAGCAGCAGGGAGATGAAGCAAGAAGTTTGGAAGTAGAAAAGAGGTGTCGAGAAACCGAACGGAGGGGAAGCGAGAAGGTCAAAAGCCAATAGGCTACTTCCGCCCTATAAAAGGATGTGTTTGAGAGAGGCAGAGGTGAGATCGACTTACCAAGGAGTTGAGCGGTGTGCGAAGGAGAGGAGGACGATGCAGGGTTTAAGGCAGCGGCAACGTCGAGGGATTGCGGTGCTATCGAGCCGCAATGTCGACTGGGAGGGAGGAGTCGAAGCCGCATGCAATCGAAGAAGCTCTCGGGGTAAGAAAGGAGAGACAGAGGGCCCGTTTGGCAGTGTAACAACTGCGAAGCATTTTCAAAACACCGACATTGGTGTTTGTTATCTTCGTCTTTGCTGTGTTGCAGGATAAGTTGGTTTTCTTTTGTATTACATGTCGCCGCAGGTTCGACTCAGCGTTCCACATTCGGAGAAAATTGTTTATAGCTCTACCCTCCCTGCGTGGCGCATCAGGTGTTATTCGCGGCATTATTCATGTCTTTTGTCAACCATTGATTCGTGGTGTTTTGCAGTGTTATTTGCAGTAGTATTCAAGTGTTATTGTGGTGTTATTCGTGGTATTATTCGAGACTTTTTTCAGTCGTTGATTCGCGGTGTTTTGCGGTAGTATTCAAATGCTATTGCGAAAATATTCGCACGGTTTTTTTATGTTATTAGTGAGTTACGCGGTGTTATTCAAACTTTTTGCCCAAGCCGGTGTTATTCGAGTTGTTTTCCGACAATATTCATGCATTATTGCGGTGTTATTAGTTATGTTTTTTGTGTTATTGGCAAGTTACACGATGTTATTCGCGCCTTTTGCCAGAGTCGGTGTTATTTGAGTTGTTTAGGGGTAATATTAATGAAAAATTAATTTTATGCTAAAAATGATTATTTTAATCAATGTTCATTGTTATTATTTTGATAATTATGTTAAAACTTTTCTTGGAAGAATTGCATACATAGCACTCAATTTTTATATACTTACATATCTAACACCTAAATTTAATTTTTACATACCTACTACCATCTAACACCTAAATTTAATTTTTACATACCTACTACCTTATTTATGCAAGCTAAGGTATATTTCACTTTTTGAAAAAAAAAATGATGACATAAATTTTAAAACTTCGTAATCAAACGACTAATTTAATTTACTACATAGTATTTATACAGGATAATAAGTTAATTTAATCTACTCTATAGTATTTATCCAGGCTAATAGTTTTGCTGAGTAAATTCTTTTTATTGGTAAACTAATAACTTTTTCATTTTAAGAAATAAACTACAAAGATTTTTCATAAAAAAATAACATTTATTAAAGCATTTGAAATAATATCATGTCAAAATTACTAAATTAATAATAAATATTACCAGATTTATTATAGCTATGACAGTTCTGTCGTAAACAGCATTACTGCATAGGGGCAGAATCATCATTTATCTTGAAACAACTGCACATCAGCTGTTTTGCAAACACAAACCAAACAGACAGTCATCTCATTCAGATCAACAGCTTATCTGGATCAGCTGTTTATCAGCATATTATCAATAATCTACAGCTGCCCTAAACAGACCAAAAGTCGTGTGTAGCTTTCGCATTCAACCTAGCTAATGTTTGGAAACCAGGTAAAGTTTGAAAAATTCTATAATTACCCCAAAATTTTCATCTCCCGGAACTTCATTGAAATAATTTAATTAAATTTTATGTATGAAATCAATCAATTTCATATAAAACACTGCATGTAAATTATGAACAGATTGGGAATTATAAAAGTTGAAATTTTTTAGTTTAATTAACCTAATTATTTCTTAATCCTTTCCTTAATCCTCTGTTCGCAACCGACCTTAAGCCCCCCTTTTCTGTTCAGTTTGAAGGCATCTAAGGCTTTGATTTTCCTCTCCTCTCCCTATTTCCTCTGACGCGATCATCTCTCCCTCACTACAACTCGGTAGGCGAATCCCGTGAAGGATTCAGCTCAGGTACTATAGCCAGGTCACACAAAAGTAAAACGAGCGACACTTGGGAAGGCTGTAGTTCGCAATATAGGGCTTCGGGGTGAAATTCAAGGGTACGAATGTCTCTCTTTTGCCAATCTAAGCTTTCATCCTTCCTCACCCTTCTGTTTTGATTTTTGCATTGTTTTACGTACTTTTCTCATTTTTGGTAGTCGTCGAAGTCACCAATTATATGTCAAAAGTGTCGTAAAAGCTTTGCAAGCATCCAAAAGGTTATATCATGAGTTTAGAGAAAGGGAAGTTAAGTTAGAGGTGATAAGAAGAAGATTAACGAATAAGTTATGTTTTAGGTTATATCAGATGAATGATTTATGCCGAAAAGCCCTTTTGAAGTATGTTTCAGACGAATAAGTTATGTTTTAGGTTAAATCACATTATGAACCCAAATTTTATGAATTATTATGATGTCTATGTTATTTAATGATCAAGATATTATGCAGATGACGCTGATTGCTTGCAGGTATTCATTCTATTATGATTCATGCTTATAAGAAATGAAATATCTGAGTGCATGAATTATGTTTTATGAAATGTCTAATGAACATTGCTACAAGTATTATGTTTTAAAAAATGTCACAAGAAATGCTATGGGTAGACAATTATATGAGTGTTTGCAAGTATACTATACAGAGATGTATCCCGAATCCTGATATTTATACGGGGATAAAACTCTGGAAACCGTTGAAATTAGGCGGTGATGGAAAATTAGGGAACTGTAAGTATCAAGGGAGGCTCTCGATAACTACTATTTGGGGAAAGTCTTAACTTATTCGATAATTTATATGGCATTTGGGGCAGAGTGACGACTCATGATGAAAGAACATTAAAATAGTTGAACATTATATATTTACAAGTGACATTGCTATAAAATGACATATGCTTATAATTATGTGTTGATGATTACATTTTTACGATTATATGTTTATGCTTGACTTCCACTGTACTCGTTTTTTCTTTATTTTCTCTAATATGATAGCATGTTATGATTCATGTGTAGACTTGTACAGTTTCATTTGAGCATACACGTTACTTCCTTTTCATGTTTAAAATCTTATTTCAGCCATGATTATTTTGCTAAGCTAGTTTTGCTCACTCTACGTTGTTGTTTTCCAGGTAGAGGCAACGAGCCCTAGGGAAAGTAGTCAGGTGTGACTTGTACAGTTTTTTGTTTTATAGTTAGGAAATTGGACAGTCCTTTTGGGTAAGTATTTATTTATTGGATTTAACAGTTTTGCATATTTATGTTTTGATGATATGATTTTCATGCTCCCGTAAATATAAATGAACTTTGACATGCAATGTTTCATGAATGTGAGACGATCCAGTTAGACAAATTTATCACCCACTATATCATGCTTATAAAAGTTAGGACGAGTGTTGGTGAGAGTTAGCCTAACCAAACTGCCAGCCTTTATCGCACCTCAGTCGACCCCTATAAGCAGGGCTAGTTGTGGTGTGATCGTGTATATGAGAAATGATATTGATATTGATGTGTCTTAATTGACACAATCTTTAAACGGTGCTCCTGTGATAGTTATACAGACACATAATAATACGCATATGATATTAAAATTGCAAAACTCTGTGAATAACAAAAAATATTTTTATCGATTTATTAAAAGCTTGACTGACATGCATACTTCTTCATTTTCTTTTGTGTTACTGTGATTTTTCATTAAGAGTATTCACTGACATTATTTGGCTTATGATTGTATTAAATTAAAATTTTTAATTTTAATTAAGTGGTTAATGATAAGCGTTAGAAGAGAGCGTTTATAAAAGATGCAAACAACAGTGAGTAAATTTAAATATCTTTTTTAATTTATTTTGATTAGTGACTCTTTCAACTGTTAAATAGCAACTAAATATAGAAAATTTAATTCACATTATCTGACTGTTTGTTTCCTTCTTGGTTAATTTCAAGTTTTGTGTCGAGTCGTGACAGTTTGTGATATTAGTAAATTTGAATTCTTATAAATAGGTTTAGCAATATGGAATAATATCCATAAGACTGGGTGAACCTTTGTACAGAGTGGGACACACACAACCCTTTAGATTGGCTGTCACAATTTGGCCCCGGGGATTGGAATTTCCAAAGCATGAACGAACAGTCAGACGAAGATTCTATAACTAACAGTTTATAATGCAAATATTAAATGAAAAAGAATAAATAAAGTAATTTAATTGACCAAATAAAGTTTACCTTTTAGGTTGTCGATCTTGCCTGTTGTAAATATTTTCTCCTCTAATATTCATCTTTTATTTAAATCTTAACTCTGAAATATTAAAACCATATAATAACTTAATTAAAATAACTCAGTTAAGTAATTACACTTCTAGATTATAGTAACACACAAAAATGGAGCAATATATATGCTTGTCTTGTCTAATATTTTCTACAAAATCATATAATAATTTAAAGCATACATTTATAATATTTGCTCATGGAGGAAGTCAAAATATGCTCATGAAGAAATCTAAATATTTCTACAAGTATCGACTATTGTTTTACTTTACAAGGTTGAATCACTAACTTTAATATACGTCATAATCTTAACTTTCACATCTATATCAGGATTATCGTCTAAATATAACCTAACACACTTATGACTAATATATACCCCATTAACAAAAAATTGGAGACCAAGTCAACAATTGTCCTAGGTGAAAATGTATATAGGCACCCCTGACTGATACTCTTTTTTCGGTATAGTAGTTCGTGATCTAACTT